TTCTTTCTTTCTTTCTTTCTTTCTTTCTTTCTTTCTTTCTTTCTTTCATCAAAGCTTTGGCCAAGTTGACTAGAAAAAGTGAGTGATACCTTCTTAGTTGAGGTTTATGTACATTTGCTTAATGTTCCCAGAGAAGCTCTTGCACGGTTGCAACACAGAAGAACTTCTGCAGCTGTCTTAGAAGCAAGATGGCCATGTTACTTCATGGAACAGTTCTAAGGAAGTGCTGTTCTTCCAAAGATTTGAACAGCCCTGTGTCTGTTTTAGCTAAGAGGAAGCAATAGCACTTAGACCTATATACTGCTTCACAGGGCTTTACAGTGTCAGCATATTGCCCCCAACAATCTGGGTCCTCACTGTACGGACCTCAGAAAGATGGAAGGCTGAGGTGGTGAGACTTGAACTGCCAAATTGGTGGCAGTCAGCAGAATTAGCTGGCAATTCTGCATTCTAACCACTGCATCACCACGGCCCTGTTGGCAACCTAATTCTGTGTCCATCTGGAAGTCTTGTAGTTTCATCTCAGCAATTCTTCTTGGTCTATTAGGAAAGAAGGTTGAATGTCTTGTTGGGCTAAATGGCCAAATGTAACATGCAGATATAGATGGATGTATACCCAAGTATTCACAAGTGTACATAAACACCTACACATACAGACATTTAATTTTTGTATTAATTCCTATTATATTCCTGTTTTTAAAAGCTGTGTTTGCCTAGCGTTGGCCTGATCATTTCTTTTGAGTAGCACCACACACAAAGCAGATGCCTAGATAACATGTCTCTCTTCCATGAATTAGAGCTGCACCCAAGCTCTTCTTTTCAATACAACACTTTTCTTTCTGCCTGATACTTCAGAACTGCTGTAGCAAAAGCAGAAGAAAAAAGGCTGCAGGGATGAAGAGATGGGGGCAGGGAGCTGGAGATCAGGGGATCCAATGTAGAAAACCAATTTTTACAAGTAGGATGAGTATTGATTTCTCTCACCTCTTCCCGTAAAGAGATGGTGGGAACGGGCAACCATTTATATAACATGGCAATATATTGGAAATACATTATTAATGGCATCTCTGGAAAAGCTTTGAGTGTTTATTGTCTCCTTCAATTTCAGTGTGATTTTCGCTTTCTGTGTCTCTCTCTTACTTCTCCCTCTGTTAAAAAAAAAAAAAGCAAGTTGTCCTTTAGAATTTATTACTTTGGAAATAGCACATGGAGTCTTCTTCCAAGACCCAAAAGAGCCAGTTTGGTCTAGAGGTTAAGGCATCAGGCTAAAAACTATGAGGGTGTGAATTTTAGTCCCACCTTAGGCATGAAAGCTAGCTGGGTGACTTTGGGTCAGTCATTCTCTATCAGCCCAATAGGATTATTGTTGTAGGGAAAATAGAAAGAAAAAGTATCAGGTACGTTCGCGACCTTAAGATGTTTATAAAAACATAATGAAAGCAAAATACAAATAAATAAATAAAAATAACCCCATTGAGTGTTTCTGGAATCCAGTTGTTCCTGTTATATCTGGATTTTTTAATAAGTTTATTAACTTGAATGTGCATGGTCTTGCAAATAGTTAGGGGGTTAGAGGGTCTCTTTCTTCTCACAACTTCTGTTGCAGGTCCATGTTTGCTTGAACACAACTGTATTTCTCTGCTATCAGAAACAGAATTAAAAATAAAATACAGAGGTTACTGTTATTCAGTGCTTGGTTCAGAAGGCTCTGTGCATGTCCTAAAATATCTCCCTACCACCTGGATCATAAAAGAGTCTTATCCAACCAGTATTTTATTTCCCACAGGGGTCAACCAACTGTTTTGAATCTGGAAATTCTATTTAGGTTCTAATTTGATATCCCTGTACTTACTCATTTCTAGTAATGAGGCTAACCCTTAACTTATGCCAAACCTCAGCCAGGTTAAATTCTAATTTATTTTGTATCACATGCAGTGTATCTGAATTACTTTATACAACCATCTTTTTTTTGCATTTGGTTAGTTTTATTATTGTACAAAAGTAAGACATCAAAAATAGAGACATAAAATGTAAGATTATAGTGTAATAAAAATACATTGTAAAAAGAATGTATTTTTCCCAACCATTCTGCTATTTATACTTTGCTTTAAAGTTTTACAGTTATTGCTTATATCTATTAAAGTGATTTTTATGCTGTTTTTTAAAATAAATTTCTTTCATTTTTTCAAAACGATATTCTGAATGTCTCAACTTGCCTTGCTATGTAAGATGTTGTATGAAAGGACCTATGCTTGCTTGGTTTTAGTTAGACTTCTGTTATATATATTTCTCCATTGGTGTATATTGTCCCATTTGGGTCTGTCAATCTTGTATCAATGGCAAGATTTCTTTTTTTTTTTTTTTTAAATAACACCATCTAAGCAAGTGACCAATACTATATTCTGCAAATTTCAGTCAGGATTATTAGTAAGGAAACCTGGGTTAATTATCCTCTCCAATCGTATATCCTATGGAAGTTTGCTTATTTGAAGCTCCCAGAATTCCTGGTGAACCTGAATAATAAATTATGGGGGTTATCACTCCAAGATGTCTTCTACTACTTACCTATCCATCTGAATAGTAATTTTCCAGCTTTCAGATATGAGTGATAAAATTCAGAAAAGCCTCAAATGCTTCTTCATTTTTTACCTTTAATTAAGGTTTTAGCTTTTCACCCCTAATGAAATGAAATATTAAGCCATCCTGCACAGTGGGAGGAGGAGGAAGGTCTCTATGACTCATAATTAGAAATCCATGTGGATTTAAGGAGGAGTGTTGGCTGTCTTAAGAGAGTAGCAGTTTGGCTAACTTGCTCACCCGCCCCAGCCTCCAACCTAATTTCTCCATATTTGATTCTCTACATCAGCCTCAATGAAAAACGGTTAAAGCAAAATTAGGAAACTTGTATGTGGCATTAAACATTCACTTAACATCTACAGCTGGAGTCTCCAAACTTGTGAACTTCAGGGCATCTTCCATTGCTCCTGTAGTTATTCATAGCTTCATGCTAGAACATAGGGATCCAATGCAGAAGATTCCACATTCAAACTTTGCCGGAGGTTCTGGAAGGCTAGTAAAGACCAGTTTCCTTTCTTATCTCCTCTGTGGAAAAGACACCCCGTGCAATAAATTAGACTGGAACAGAATTTGATATTGATAAGGGTTTGCAACCGGATTCCCATTTTCTCAGTACACTTCATCTGTCTAATAATATAGCTATATGCCAGCCTGAAAAATTTCTAGCATACTTTCTAGGGTTGTGTCTAGTTGGGTCATGGTGATGCCACAGTACTTATAATTTGTTCCTTGGCATTCCTTGTGGGTTTTTTTTAACCTTTGATTCATTGTTGACTCCTGGTGATTGCCTGGAGCAGTTTTGATGGCAATGTGAAGGTTTTTTTTTTCCCCCAGAAGTGGTTTGCCATTGTCTGCTTCCTAGGGCTGAGAGAAGTTGGTTGGCCCAAAGCTATTCAACTGACTTGGTGCCTAAGGCAGGCTAGAATTCACAGTTTCTTGTTTTCTAGTGCTTTAACCACTATACCAAACTGGGTCTTGTTCATTTAGGTATTTAAAACAAATGGGAAGCTGGGCTATTACCAACCACTAGCTTCAAGCTTATGGGAAGAAAATGGTGCATAAATCCAGTACTTTGTTTGGAAGTACACTCATCTGCCCACAAATTAGTGAAAAGTAACCTAATGGAGTAAAGAACTTTTGAGGAAGCTAGATGAGATGGTGTGAAACGCCATCAAAAGTCAGACTGCTGTCAAATGGATTTTGTTTGACTTGTCATGCCCACCATGGCAGCCATTTTGTGAATTTGTGAAGGTCTCTCTTGACTCAAAAAAGTTGCCTGAAACCACTAGGAAAATAGATATTACAGGCAGTCCTTGACTTACGAACATAGTTGACCCCAAAGTTTTTGTTGCTAAGTGAGACCGATGTTAAGTGAATTTTGCCCCATTGTACGACCTTTCTTGCCACCAATGTTAAGGGAATCACTGCACTTGTTAGGTTAGTAACACAATTGTTAAGTAAATCTGGCTTCTCCGTTGACTTTGCTTGTCAGAAGGTTGCAAAAGGTAATCACATGATCCCAGGACACTGCAACCGTCATAACGATGAACCAGTTGCCAAGTGTACTGACCCAGGCTTCATCAAACGGAATTAATATCAAACTAGTTGTAAAAGCAAGACCTATTTTATTGCAATGCTGGGAATTACTTTCATTCCCAGCCAGAATTAATTATAAACAGTTCCCCAAGATAAGCACACTCCTTTCAGTGCTGTGGAATGCTGCCAAAAACAGAAGTATCCAATTAATTATAACAGAAACCAACCGAAGTACCAGAAAAAACCAACCAGAGTACAAGAAGCTTCAAGGAGGACTCGGAATCTATCGAACTATTTTGCTTCCTGCAAAGCTTTCGTCATTGAGGTCTGACTTTTATCCCTTATGGGAGGGGCAATTACCTCCCAGCCTTACTCCCGAGTCTCCTCTTCTGCTTCAGTTGCTCTCACCTTCTAGCAGCTCTGCACACACACGCACTGGGAACAGGCTCCCCTGGGTCCTCTGCCTCGCTGCTGCCAGACTCTGAAGGTTCCAAAGGCAGCACCCCATTCCCAAATGGTCCTGGCCCCATGCCTGCATCGGATGTAAGAACCTCCAAGTTCTCTCCAAACTCCCTGACTGGTCCCCTTTCTTCCCCACTGTCTGACTCCAGTGCTGGCTGCCGGCGAACCACAATACCAAGCATCCAAATTCCGATCATGTCACCATGAGGATGCTACAATGGTTGTAAGTGCGAAAAAGGTCCTAAGTCCCTTTTTTCAGTGCCATTGTAACTTAGAACGGTCATTAAATGTATCAAAGACTACCTATACAGTAAACATTAACCAGAATTTTAAGGATGAATTGCTGATTTATGATCGCTTTATTGAGAATCTGTAAGCCTTCCCCACAACTAGAACCCGAACAATGGAGAAAGAGAATTTATAGATGAACAAATTAAAGAACAATTTTTGTTTGTTATGATGAACCTTTATCTATATCTAACACAACTGTTCCTTCCTTAACTTAGCTTTAATCTTTTCAAGAAAACAGGTATCAGCTTTTATATAAAGGATGTTAAGGTGTCTGCTGATTTTCTGATGTTTAATAATTTGTGATCAGAGCTGTGACAGGAATAATTATTTTGTCTGAACTGTAAGCATTTCATATTGTTTGAACAACTTGAAGGAAGAGAATGAGTAGTAACTTTAACTGGAAGCACTCTTCAAAGATCTGAATCTTTATGGAAGAGATGCTTTGAACCTTTGATTTCACAATAGGGCTGGACTGCATCATAGTATTTATAGTATGGGATGAACTCAAATATTTGATTCCGTTCAAAAATTAAGTTTGAAGGCCTCATTTGCGCTGCTTGAATCTTCAGCTCAAATATTCCTACAGCCGTAGAAGGATATAAAATATTCATTATCTGTCTTACACTAGCTGAAGCCAAGAAGAAAAGATTACAAATAAGGGCGTGAGGAATTAATAATTTGGAAACATTTGTCTTTGGAAAACCTCATTTTTATCTTGATTATCCTCCTTCCAGTATAAAAAGAGATGCTTCCTACAAAATGGACAGAGAATCACCTTATTGGTTCACTTAATAAACAAGCAATTCCTATAGACACCTAGTTCTCCACTCATTGTGAATGTTTACGGTGCCTGTGTCATGCCGGTAAAATGTTAATATGATTCACTGGCGCTCTAGGCTCCTGTTAACGGGAAAAAAAAACATTAAAATGTGCATAATTACAGGGCAAAATGTCAAGTAGTCAGTTTAATTTACTGATGAATACAGAGAATTAATGTTTTGCAACAGTTCCAAGATTGCAAATTATGAATTAGTGAAAAGGTAATATTTGGTTTTGCTGACATTTTTGAGGCTGTTTGATTACCACTTGCCACATCCATTTGGTTTGTGTTTTTTTTCCCCCCTTGCCTGCAGGTGGATTTTGCCTTCACTGTCTGGCAGAGTTTCCCAGAGAGGATTGTGGGTTATCCTGCCCGCAGCCATTTTTGGGATAACACAAAGGAGAGGTGGGGCTACACATCGAAATGGACGAATGACTATTCCATGGTATTGAGTGGAGCTGCTATTTACCACAAGTAAGACTATTATGGGTATTTAAAGCCTGTTTTAAGGGGTGAGAGAAAGAATAGGATAGGGCAGGACAGGATCTTGGAGGTCTTTTATCTGGTCCATCCCCCTGCTCAAACAGGAGAACATATGCCATTTCAGACAAGTGATTGTCTAGCCTCTTCTTAAAAACCTCCAGTGATGGAGGGCCCATGATTTCTGGAGGCAAGTTGTTCCACTGGTTAATTGTCCTCACTGTTAGGAAGTTTCTCCTTAATTCCAGATTGCTTCTCTCTTTGATTAGTTTCCAACCACTGTTTCTTGTCCTGCCCTCCGGTGCTTTGGAAAATAAAGTTCAGCTATATTCTTATATTTATCTAGAGTATTTATTTACTGGAATTAAAAAAAAAATCCATCTATTCTGTATTGAGTTAAATCATAGTCCCACAACAATCCTGGTACTTCTTGCGACTTTTTTTTTTCATTTTCATTTTCCCTTAATTTTTGTTTTGCAAAGCAGGTTTTGTTAAAACATCAAGGGTGATTCCTAAAGGATTAAAACTTGAGTCTCTCTTCTGCAGATAATGACTTTGATTCCTGGTTTCAAGATCTGATAGTCATTAGTGTGTTTTTCTCAATTTCTTTCAAGTCACTTGTACTCTAAAAAAAGGCAATTTGATTTGAATGCTGTCTCTTAAGGGCAATAGCAGACTTCAAAAAACTCCTAAAGTCTTCAAAGGGATTCTGCCACGATTTTCTTTGGCATCAAGGGAGAATGAACATGTCCTAAGCAAGCTGAGGCTTAGGTTGGCTGCCCATCTTAATTCAACCAAATTGTATGAAGTTTATAATTCATCTTGATTGTCTATGTTTGCTTGTTGGGGGTCATAAGGGAGAGAAAAGCAAAGAAAAGCCTCTCTCTCTTTTTCTGTAGAAAAGTGGTTGACATTGTTTTTTCCCCTCCTTTGAAAAATGAAAAATGTATCACTGCAAAGGAATGGTCATCTGGTTTCCTTAGGGTGATGGTCAAACAATCCTATTCTGACTAATCAAAAAGTTTAACTGACCTCTCTCCCTTCCACAGTCCCCCAACATTGCAACTCTTCTTCAGATTTCTTAGAATGAGTGGTGGATTTCCACAAACAGCTAAATAAGCGTAACAAAAGTAAATGTGTGTAAGTGTACTTTATTTACATAAAGTGCCCCACTATGTCAATACGTCTTGTTTCTCAAGTTTTTCAAGAATTTTTGAATTCTGGAGTTCCCTTGTCGTCAGAAATTGATATCATCAATAATTCATTTTTAAACACTTTTTTTTTTAACCCGGAGAATATTGACTTAGTACCAAAGTTCCTGTCATCTCCAACCAAGCTGATATAGTCCGGAGTAAGCAGATCATTGCTCATTTGTGCAACATCTGTCCTCTTTCTGCATTTGGACTCCCTTCCTCTCTTATTTAAGGGTTATAGGTTGCCCATTTCTGTTTTACAGACTTCTTCTATGGATCATTCCCTGGATTGTTGATGGGCATGTATGGAATTAGAAGAACATTTCATAGACACTCCCACAAATGGCTGCTTGGCCTTTTCAAACTGGGCATGGGAGGTTGAATAAAATGTAAAGTATGGATTTAACCTGCTATATGGTACCCATCCTGAATTGCTGCATCCTCAAGATGCTCCTTTCTACCCCAGCATGCCCTTGTCTTTGGGGAAGGCAGGTGAAAACATGCAAATCCAAGACCTGGTCTCCCCGTGTTTATTTTGTAAAACACATCTGAGACCCATTTAAGACCCAGTGGCACTCTTGGAAATGCTGATTATGCTGGAGGGTAATTGCTTTGCTTTGCATCATGCCCCCTTTTCGATAACTTTAATTAAAATATGTAAGAAATGTTAAAAAGTCAAATGGAACAGGGAGTCTGGTAAGTCCCACAGAAGATACCTTCAGGCACTGCTAGGATTACATAAGTATAGATCTTCTGCTTCTAGTTTGAAGGGGGAAATCACAACTTAGAATTATGGAGCTGGAAGGGACCTTGGAGGTCTTCTAGTCTGCCCCCCTGCCCAAGGCAGGGGTCCTTATACTAATCCAGACAAATGATTGCCCAATCTTTTCTTGAAAACCTCCAGCAATGAAGCACTCGGGGAAGCAAGCTGTTCCACTGATTAATCATTATCACTGTCAAGAAATTCCTCCTTATTTCCGGGTTGCATCTCCCTCTGACAAGCTTCCATCCATGGCTTCTTGTTCTGCCCTTGGGTGCTATGAAGAATAAATTGATGCCCCATTCCCTGTGACAGCTCTTCAAATATTGGAAGATTTTTATCATGTCTCCCCTAAACCTTCTCTTCATTAGACTAAACATGCCTAGTTCTCTTAGCCATTCGTCATACAATTTAGCCTCCAGAATCCCTTATCATCTTTGTTGCTCTTCTCTGCACTATTTCTAGGGCTTCAGGATCTTTTCTTGTTTTGTATTGTGGTGAGCAGAACTGGACACGGTATTAGTATACTTGTTGAAAAAAGCCCCAGCCTGCAGTGCATAAGATATACACAGTTTGTCGTCTCCACTGTTGCCTGAATTTCTGGGAATAGCCAACATTTTTGCTGAATGTACTTACAATCAGTACTAAGGTGTGTTCTGACCCAAGCCTCATTGAAATCAAATAAACACAAAATATATATAAAAGCAAACCTTTTTAATGCGTCTCTGTGAATTCTGTTCATTCACAGCAAAGAGTCATTAAAACTAATTGTCCCAGATAAGAACAAGCCCTTTCAAGGTCATGAAAGGCTGCCAAGAATACAAGATTAACTGCAGAGAAATATTCCAAACTAAAAATCTCCAAACATGAACTAGAACAGACAGGACTTCCACGAGAACTTGGAGTTGAAAGAACTTCCTTGCTTCCTGCAAAGAAGCCAACCCCGAAGGCTGGCTTTTATCCCTTATGGGAGGAGCCATCACCTTGCAGCCTTACCCTAAGTCATCCGTGCTGCTTCAGCTGCTCTTTCCTTTGAGCAGCCCTGTACACTGAGTACAGGCACCCTGGGGTCCTCTTTGTCCCTACTGCCAGACTCCACAAGCTCCAAAGGCAACACCCCACTCTCCGATAGTCCTGGCCCCATCCCTGCATCACATGTAGGCCCCTCATCCGAATCCTCGCTCTCAGAGACCTCAGCCGTCCGCACCTGCTGCCGGCGAACCACAACGTGACAGCTCCCTACATTTCTAAATCTGTTGCAACCTTATAGTTCCTGGATGCATTTTGAAAAGCCATTCAATCCAATTTGGTGACTAATACCAGTAGAAAGTTCCACTGAAGTTCTGGTGGCTTATTCCAAGTAAATGTGTATCGGATGACATACAGATACAGATAATTAGAGTTGGAAGGGACCTTGTAGGTCATCTAGTCCAACCCCCCCGCCCAAGCAGGAGGCCCTACACCATTTCTGACAAATGGTAGTCCAATCTCTTCTTGAAAGTCTCAACTGATGGCGCTCCCACAACTTCCGAGGACAAGCTGTTCCATTGGTTGATTGTTCTCACTGTCAGAAAGTTTCTCCTTGTTTCCTTGTTTGTGACATTGCCAGATGCTCACTGAAGGCCCTCAATTATTGTGTTGCAGATATTATCACTACCTGTACACTCATTACCTGCCTGCTAGTCTGAAGAATGTGGTGGACCAACTAGCCAATTGTGAAGACATTTTAATGAACTTTTTGGTGTCCGCTGTGACAAAATTGCCTCCCATCAAAGTAACACAGAAGAAACAGTACAAGGAAACCATGATGGGACAGGTATGTGCAGAAGGTCTGCTTTAACCTTTTTGGAACGGGTTTGTATGTATGATTTTAGGGGTTATCATAACTTCGATGTCACTGGTTGCAAGTCAAGGATTACCATATCTGCAATTCTCATAATAGTCAATAAAACTATCCTGAAAAAAAATCATACTTCCTGAAAATCACATATTCTTAGGAGCACACATCTTTCTGGAAGTTGGATCATCTATAAATAAGCCCACAAAAATATAATGTCCACAAACAATCTTAGGGTACCTGCCAGAATCCCAACTAATATATTTGGACACCAGAATCTAAAGGGTTGCCAAAGAGCCATGTTACTAGATCTATGGCACCTATTCTTAATCTGTACTAATGGGAGTTTACTTATAAATCTACAATAAAGCACCATTTCCCAAAGGTGCTTTTTCAAGAAGCAACTGGACTTCCTTTTTTTTTTTCTTTGAAGACATTTCGCTTCCAAGAAGCTTCTTCAGCTGTGACTGGATGGAGGGGGAATGGAAGGATTTCATTCCTTCATCATTCATAATCCTTCCATTCCGCTCCATTCAGTCAGAGCTGAAGAAGCTTCTTTGAAATGTCTTCAAAGGAAAATAAGTCCAGTTTCCTCTTGAAAAAGAACCTTTGGGACAACTATGACCTGGAAGACTGAGAATCTCTATAAACATACAGCGCTATGTCTTTTTAAAAATGTTATAAAAATCCTGCAAGTGAGTGGATATAATAAACAAAACTTGGAGTTATTCAAAAATAGCCTGCCATCATGATCTGAAAGGAGAAATGTTCACAAATGGTGCTGCAACAGATGTGGGTTTTCTATTTTCGAAATAATTACTTACAGTCAGTTTTTGTAAGAACATGCAGGGGGGAAAGCTTCAGATTTTTTCTCTCTGCCCCATTAGGATGCTTATGTTAATTTGGGGAGTGAGGTGCACGGTCTATTGTTAATGACCATTTTCCCATTTTTGCTTAAATTTAAGAGTCTATGGCAGGGGCCTTCAAACTTGACAGCTTTAAGGCTTGTGGACTTCAACTCCCAGAATTCCTCCTCCAGTCATGTTAGCGCAAGAATTCTGGGAATTGAAGTCCACAAGTCTTAAACTTGCCAAATTTGAAGACCCTTGGTCTATGGATGTTTTTAGTCATCCAGGTTGTGGTTGTCCCAAAGGTGCTTTTTTCAAGAGGCAAGCTTCTTGGATGAGAAGCTAAAAGTCTTCAAAGAAAAACCAGAATGTCCAGTTGCCTCTTGAAAAAAGCACCTTTGGGACCTAAATTTAAGAATTCTCCTTGCAGATGCCATACATCTGAAAAGCTAGCCAATTACAATAATTAGGATGTTTGCTTGAGAATGGGGTAAGTTCAGCTAGAATTATTATGTTTTTATTACTTTTCTGGTACTTCTTTTGAGATGGCGGAAATTTGCTGGTGAAATTGCTCTTTAACGGCCATTTCTGTAAAAGTATATCAAGTCTAATTCTTAGTTGTCTTACTCTATAACTTCAAGCCACCGTTGGAATTATACTAAAGATGAGGCCTTGTAGGTTTCACTCTTGATCATTCATATAGTCCAGTCTCAAGCAGGCAAACTGAGGCCTCTTTTTAAAATTTAAATTGTAATTAATCTGAGACATGAAAATAATTCAGAGTTGCAGTTTGAAGTCAGTTTGTTACTACTAACCCTGGTAAGTAGAATGATGAGGTCTCCTTGCTGTCACAGGGGAGGACAAAACCGTAGTTCACAAGCCACAAGTAGTCAATTCAGATGTTGCTAATCCAGATCTCCAAGAATTCCTAGGAAATAAGGCAAGACAGAGCAGGAAGTTGTAGTTCAGAAACATCCGGTAACCATTATTGTCTGTGTTTAACCCAAATTGACTAGACAGATCTTGCTTAGCAAACAGAATGGAGCCCAGATTTGCATTGTAAATCATTCAAAGTGACTGTACTCAATGTTTGTTTTCACATTGGCTGCAAAGCATGTCACTGTGGCCATTAAGCAAATCACATGGTTATTAAGCAAAAACATTCTCCCAAAAATCAGCAAAATTTTTTAACAAAATCACAATCGCACAACGCTGGGACACTGCAACTGGTTGTAAATGCAAGTTGACTGCCAAATACCTAAAACACAATCGCATGACCATGGTGGGGTTTGCAACTTTAAGGACAGGTCATAATTTGGAAAGGTCATTCAATAACCAGTTGTTAAGTGAGGACTGCCTGTAATTCATCCTGATCATGCTGCATTGTGATTTAGAATTATTTATTAAACATGTATGCTACTTGGGTGACTCCCAAGTAAAAACATTAAAGACTAGGAAAAACAAAAATAAAAGAGTACAGGTACTTCTCGTGTTACGACTACAATTGAGCCCAAAATTTCCGTTATGAGCCGCGGTGGCGCAGTGGTTAGAGTGTAGTACTGCAGGCTACTTCTGCTGACTGTCTGCAGTTTGGCAGTTCAAATCTCACCGGCTCCAGGTTGACTCAGCCTTCCATCCTTCTGAGGTCGGTAAAATGAGGACCCAGATGGTTGGGGTCAATAGGCTGACTCTGTAAACAGCTTAGAGAGGGCTGTAAAAGCATTGTAAAGCAGTATATAAGTCTAAATGCTATTGCTGTTACTAAATATTAAATTAGTTTTGCCTCATTTATCACCTTTCCTGCCACCGTTGTTGAGTAAACTGTTCCAGTTATTAAGTTAGGTTATTAAGTGAATCTGGCTTCCCCATTGACTTTGCTTGACGGAACATCACGAAAGGTGAACAGGCAACCCCGGGACACTTCAACCGTCATAAATACATGCCATAATTTTGATGGTGACCATGGGGAAGCTACAAAGCAGAGGTGGTATTCAGCAGGTACTGACCAGTTCTGGAGAACCAGTAGTGGAAATTTTGAGTAGTTCGAATACCACATCTGGCTGGCACCCCTCCATCTATTCGTTGCCTCCCGAGTCCCAGCTGATTGGCTGGGTCTTCTTTTGTTACCCTGCACAGGAAAACGGACCTGGAAAGCAGGTTAGTGGGGTGGGGAAGAAATGGGGTTTTTACAGTATCTTTCCCCTACCACGCCCACCAAGTCACGCATACAGAACCGGTAGTAAAAAAAATTTTAATACCACCACTGCTGCAAAGGTTGTAAGAATGGTCATAAGTCACTGTTTTCAGTGCCATTGTAACTTCAAATGGTTACTAAACGAATGGTTGTAAGTTAAGGACTACCTGACAGGAATGAAAAAGGAAAAACCCATGCAATCATTTGCGAAAATCCTGGATGAAGAACTTCAAAACATAAGGAGGAGGGGGGGGAGGCATCTGGATCTGGGGAAGGGGGAAGACCTCTTTTCAGAGGGCAGGCCAGTGGTGGGATTCAAAATTTTTACTACTGGTTCTGTGGGCGTGGCTTTGTGGACATGGCAGGGGAAGGTTACTGCAAAATCCCCGTTCCCTCCCCACCCCACTAACCTGCTTTCCAGCTCTGTTCTCCTGTGCAGGGCAACCAAAGAAGACCCAGCCAATCAGCTGGGACTCGGGAGGCAGAGAATAGATGGGGGCGGGGCCAGTCAGAGCTGGTATTTGCCAGTGCTCTGAACTACTCAAAATTTCCGCTACCGGTTCTCCAGAACTGCTCAGAACCTGCTGAATGCCACCTCTGGGGCAGGCATTGCTATAGAGAAGGCCAGCGGAGATCACAATGGTTGGCATTGTTTAATTAAAGGAATCCGTAGTGTACCAACCCTACTAGATGAAACCAGCCCGACAGATATTACAGAATCATATGCAAATGCTCTTACTAATTCCACACTTTAGATATAAATGGAAAGCACATATGTTGTTCTGAGAGTGAAAAGGAAATAAAACTATTAATGGAAGAAGGCTCAAATGAAGTAACCACCCATGTTGCTGGTACAGGAAGCATACCAGTTAATCTGATCATCTTCTAAACAAGCGGCCATTTGTCATTTGTTCTGTGTGTTATCGGGGAACCCCAAAAAACTCATCTCAGCATCTCATTCTACTTCTTCTATCTAACAGAGCACTAATAAATTCATGCAGCATTTCTCAACCTCAGCAACTTCAAGATGTGTGACTTCAATTCCCAGAATTCCCCAGTTGCTGAAGCTGAGGAAAACTGAATGAAGATGCTAAATCATCTTTACGTTCTCCTTCTCCCTAACCCCACTGACTCAGATGATGTAATTACTGACAGTCCACATATAAAAGATCTCTGTGTATTTCCTGGTTTATGTTTTCAAACATGGAGAAATGGAAGGATTTCAGAATTCAACAATCCCACTGTCTAGAGTTGTGAGACATCTGGGGGAAAGATCCAGAATACAGCCAGTCCTCAAATTATGACCACATTTGAGCCCAAAATTTATGTCGCTAAATGAGAAATTTGTTAAGGGAGCTTTGCCCTATTGTATGACTTTTCTTGCCACGTTTGTTAAGTAAATCATTGCAATTGTTAAATTAATTAACATTAATGTAATTAGTTAAATTAATTGGTTGTTCGATAAATCTGATTTCCCCATTGTCTTCGCTTATCAGAAAGTTGCAAAAGGTGATCTCACATGACCCTGGGACTTTCAACGATCATAAATATGAGTCAGTTGCCAAGCAACCAAATGTTGATCATGTGACCATGGGGTTGCTACAACGGTCATAATAACAATAGCACTTAGACTTATATACCGCTTTATAGTGCTTTACATCTGTCTCTAACCGGTTTACAGAGTCAGCATATTGCCCACAATAACTTGGGTCCTAATTTTACCCACCTCAGAAGGATGGAAGGCTGAGTCAACCTGGAGCCTGGTGGGATTTGAATTGCCAAATTGTAGGGCAGCTGGCTGCAGAAGTAGCCTTCAATACTGCACTCTAACCACTGTGCCACAGAGGCTCATGAATGGCCATAAGTCACTTTTTTCAGTGCCGTTGTAAGTTCAAACAGCCACTAAATGAACTATTGTAAATCAACTATCTGTAATTGGAAGAGTGAATTTTTAAAAAAAGTTTTTTCCTGTGATTGTTTTTCCTTTTTTTCCCTCTAACCCAGGGGTATCAAATTGAAGGCCCAGAGGCCGGATCCAGCCCACGGGTTGCTTAGATCTGGCCCGCGGGACTGCCCTGGAAACAGCAAAGAACTGTCCCACAGTGCCTCTGCCAGCAAAAACGGAGCTCCGTTTTCGCTGGCAGAGGGTTGCAGGAGACCGTCACAGCCGAAAATGGAGCTCGGGAGCCCATTTCCACTGGCAGAGCACTTGGGCCATCACAAGTGCCCCCAACATGAGTGCTGTTGACCTGACCACGCCCACCCCAGCCCCCCGAGGTCAAACACAACCCTGATGCGGCCCTCCATGAAATTGAGTTTAATACCCCTGCTCTAACCCTTCATACGTGAAGATTAGCTATAGCTTCATTAAAGCTCTAACCCTGGGACTGGTGTCATCTAATACAGTGGTCACCAACCAGTGGACCGCAGCCCACTGGTGGTCCGCGAGAAAATTTTGGTGGTCCACAGAGAAATGTCACCCGCAGAGCAATTAATCCAAGCTGCGCGGGAACACAAGGCTGCACCACCCACATGGCCCCCGGGAACCCTCCCCACACACTCACTCCTTACCTGACAAACTTGCCTGTTAAGTTGCTATTTTTCCTTTTTCTGACCATCAGCTGTTCTGCCGTGCCGGGAGATTTAGATTAGCTAGAAAGCAGGAAATTGGATTTCTTGCTTTCTAACTAATCTTTAGATCTTCGGCTCTGCTTTTAAGCAGAGCCAAACCTTCCTTAAGACTGAAGCTTCTATTATTAAGTGCAGGTAGCCGATGGCAGAATCATTGATCTCTAAGTGAATCTGTGATTCTGTAAGCAACTCGATCTGCCTGCCTGCTTTGCCTGATTTTAGGTAAAAGTTGCTCTCTCTTTTTATAAAAAGAAATCAATATTTACATAAATATTTATAATATTTACATACAAGCCATGCGCAGCCAGTCACATGACCACCAAACCACACCCACAAATTAGGCCCCGCCCAAGAACTGGTGGTTAAGAAATTTGAATCCCACTCCTGCCTCTGTGTGTGTGTGTTTGTGTGTGTTTGAGAGAGAGAGAGAGAGACTCCCACCAACGTCAGCAAGCCACCGACAGTCAAGATTCATATTAGTGGTCCCCAGGATTTAAAATTATGAGTTTGGTGGTCCCTGAAGTCCAAAAGGTTGGCGACCCCTGATCTAACACACACTGACTTGATTTAGCTTAAGTGTGATTTGTGAATACAACCACTGTGGGTTGATGAGCTGTTTCACTCTCTGTTTTAGTCTATTCTGGCTTCTGGCATGGTTAAAGAAAACTGTGGTTTATCATGATGTTAACCCAGCCTATGAGGGAAACAATAACAGAAGGATCATCCATTATCCAGAATTCAATAGGATTTGGCTTGTTCTCCAATCCCTGAATTTCACAGTTACCTTTCTAACATTTTATGCTCCTAAAACAGAGTTCAAGCTAGCAAGAGAACCGCATTGTTTGGTTTGTGTTCCAGGTATCTAATCCCTCAGAAATGAGGATTTATAACTTCTAATTTCAGAAGCTTTCTGCTCACCCAAGGCAAGCAAGCAACAATTTCCCACTGAGCCATTGATTCCAAAGATTCAAATCAAGCAATTTTTCACTGTCCTGAAGCTAAGCACAGACAATGTGCATGTCAGCAAAACAGGATCAGTTTTATTACTGCCAATGTAATGCTGCAAACTAATATTAAATGCAGATTCAATGCTATGGTAAAATGGTAAAATGGATACAATCTGGAATCTCTTTGGATGATAGAAGTTTTTGCATTTTTAGGAGGACAAAAGCCTTGGTGGAGAGGGCTCTGCCTCACACAAATGAGGAAGGAAGACATTTTGTGTTTCTTAGAAGGACCAAGATTTCTTAGGATATTATTTTGTTAATGATCTTCATTCAGAGAGATTTTAGAGAGCTGTAGTGGCACAGTGGTTAGAATGCAGCATTGCAGGCTAATTCTGCCAACTGCCAGCAGTTCGATCCTTACCAGCTCAAGGTTGACTCAGCCTTCCATCCTTCCCAGGTCGGTAATTTGAGGACTCAGATTGTTGGGGTCAATATGCTGACTCTAAATCTCTTAGGGAGGGCTGTAAAGCACTATGAAGCGGCATATAAATCTAAGTGCTATTGCGATTGCTATTTAGAACTCACATTTTTTGTTTCCTGCCCTCAAAAGGCAAACAATTGTTCTAGTAACAATGGTGATTGGAGAAACTTCAAAGACACGGTTCTGGGTTTATATTTAGTCTGGGATCTTAACATTTTTCACCTGCTTAGATGAGAAAGGCACAGAGACAAGACTATAATGATTAATTTCTGCCTGTTATTCATCCTCCATTCCCAACTATCATACTTGACCAGTAACTCTACAGACTGGTAGCCCTAAATAGGTGTTTTCTTACAAGAAGGATTTCCTCTGTTTGAGATTTTAAAGTAGAATACAGATAGTCAAAGTTACACCAGCACTGAACATGTGACTTACTATTATTTTTCACTCTTAACAAGCATCCCCATGGTCACATGATCAAAATTTGGATGCTTGGCAATTTATGGCAGTTGCAGTTTTCACAAGATTAAAAAGTAAACGTTCCTCCTTTTCCCCAAGTCATTAGTCACATTGTCCAAAAGAGGTGCTGGCTGGTTGCTTGGTTACTCCACTCCTCCTCTCCCCAGGCACCTATTGGAATGTCCTTAGTTCCCACAGGAAAACTTTCAGTTTTGATTACAAGCCCCCAGCTATCTATCTCCCCCCCCTCCCTGTCCCCCCTTCTTCCTTGTGGCAACCCTGAAGCCTCAAAATGGCCTCAGTCAGGTTTGCTTCAGGGTTGACACAAATTATTTAATCAGTCCAGCAGTTCAGTGCTATTCTAAAACATAATTTTCTTGGACCTCTCCCTCATTCTGCTTCTCTCTTGTGTGTGTTTTGGGGGCAGGGAAGATTATAAAACTGAGGTAGGGACACTCTGGTTCTTCATAGTTCTAAAAAAATTTCCAGGTGAAAAAAATGGACTATAAAAACTTTTGAAGAATGAACTGGCTTGTTTGTGTTTTGTTACAGACTTCCAGAGCTTCTCGGTGGGCTGATCCAGATCATTTTGCTCAGAGGCAAAGCTGCATGAACACTTTTGCCAGCTGGTTTGGCTATATGCCGCTGATCCATTCTCAGATGAGGCTCGATCCCGTGCTCTTTAAAGATCAGGTCTCCATCCTGAGGAAGAAATATCGCGACATTGAACGACTTTGAGGAGCCCAGCTGAGGGGTGGGTGGGAGTGAGAACTGAATAGTTCCCCGAGCCCAGCGCAGAGCCACACACACATCCTCGAGTCAGACCGCGCCAAGAGCAACTCAACCCAAAAAAAATTGCGACATGCCAATGTAGTAGCCAAGTAGCTCTGGACCCAAAGGGAAGTTGGGATTGCGCTGGACTGCTTTGAAACACCCCTCAACAGGCTGCAAGGTCCCTCAAGACTAGGTTGTGTACAGTTTCATTATGGAACATTAAATAATTATTTTTTGAAATGATTGCTATGCAGGTTTAAACTTTTTTAATGATAAAAAAAAATCCCTATTAAAACAGAGTTCTTTCTTTAATCAAAATGGTGTTGGTTGTTGTGACTCTTTCAAAGAAGCTACGTTTTCTAAATCATATTCCCATAAAAATGTGATCTGAGGCAGCCTTGGAGGCAATATGTTGTTCTTTTAAGAGAAGGTAGTTGTGTCCTTTTATTGAAAATGGGACCAACATAAAAGACATGCAAAGCACATTCAAAAATGCAAAACATGAGGGGAAAACACCAGCACTTGAAGTTTGCTCCAAAGACCCCAAGATAGAAATATGTTCCAGTCCACCTCAAGTCACATTTCCTTGATCTTTTTCCATCTTCCACACAATTTCCCCATTACCTGCCAAGGAAGAGCCCAAAGAAGAAGTCACTACTACTCCAGTACAAGGATTGGGATCTCTTTTCTTTAAAATTTAGAATAAAAAGTTTGGAAAGGGCTTGGAAAAGTGGTGATTGCTAGAATTCCCCTGGTTCCTTCTGGCTATTATTCCCCAGTGCCTCACTGAACAACAGCTGAAGGCTTGATAGTTTCTCTTGAGTTCGAGAAATTTCCCTCCTGTTTAATTTTCCTTATTTTGAGATAGTGCCATGAAGAAATGAAATGTCCCATTGGAGCCATGGGTACCAATAACCTGTGGGCTCCTGCACTATGTGTTTTGATATTGATTTAAACAATGAAGCCTCCCTCAAGTCAATATCTTTTCTTGATGGCTTCATGAAAGTACCTGGGACATTTTTCTAGCAATAATACGAATGTGACTTGCCTATCCTTTCATGAATAGTTCTGATTTCCATTGTAATTTTAATCCCTAAAATTTACTGGATGTCTCTGGACCAAATACTGATCAAGTTTGGCCTTTCCAACTTTTGAGGATCAGCCAAGATCAGCTAGGTGCTGCCATCTATCTGAAGAGCATGTTCTGCCTACCTGCAGCTGTTCTCAGTCAGGGGCGGGATTCTACCAGTTCGGCCCGGTTCAGGAGAACCGTTAGTTTCGAAGATCACCTGGGAGCGAACCGTTTGCTCCGATAAGCAGCTGCTGGACCCACCCTCCTGCCCTGGATCCATAATGACCTTTATTTCTGCTTTTGACACTCAGTTGCATCGCACAGTGGGTTGCTGTGCATCAGCTGTTGAAGAGAACGGGAGAGTGCAGGAGAAAGTCAGTAGGAAAGCCTATGCGCACATACAAAGTGGGTGCAGATTGGGCGTGTTTTCCATGTGCATGCGCACTGTGTGCATTTTGTGTGCATTTTGTGTGCATTTTGTGTGCACTTTGTGTACGTGCATAGGCTTTCCTACTGATCTGCACTCCCACCAAGCTACGCCCACCAACCCTCCTGCACGCCCACCAAGCCACACCCACCAACCCTCCTGCACGCCCACCAAGCTATGCCCACCAACTCTCCTGCACGCCCACCAAGCCACGCCCACCAAACCAGTGGTAAACCAATTTGAATCCCACCACTGTTCTGAGTGGACAGGTTACGATGTGTGAATCCATCAAAGAGAAACTGCAGATAAATGAAAGTAGAATTTTCCTCAATTTCTGGCATAAAAACAATCTACCGTCAATGTTCCCCCTCTCCAAGCTTTGAAGTGTTTGCTCAAAACTGCCCTGAAGGAATTAAGAAGGTGTAAGTAGAATTGAGAAGAGACATCACATATTTTCAAAATTACACAAACCCTGTTAGCTTCTTAACCCTGATTTTTGCATTGAAAACACTTCAGCTTTTAACATTTTGAGTTGCAAAGTTTCCCCCAGGGTCTAATGGGAGCTATTTAGGTCTTCTCCAGAAGAGCCATGCATCCAGGATGATGATAATAATCAATTGCACTCATCATTTTCTTCTGGAAAAAAAGCACAGAACTATGCTTGTAAAATCTTCCTTAATGCATGGGGCATATCCCTAAGAAGGAGTAAATTATCGGGATATTCTTATTAATTAAATTCCAGTTGTATTTTAAAGGGGTAGGGGGAATTATAAAAAGAAAAAGGCAATAAATATTAATATGATCTGCCTTGGCTTCTCAACAAAAATGCTGAAATTTGGCATGATTATAGCCCTCGAAGCTATATGCTGCTGGCCTAATTTCACATACTAAAGATAAATGATCTAGATTTTTTCTTTAACAAAAATCAGGATTTGGAACAGCTGTATCAGCACCATCTTGAATTTTGGATGTCACTTGGTTAACCACTCAAGTAAAAGAAAATTCCAGATCAGCCTCTCAAATACATAAAATTGAAACACTTGAATTCTGCTGGAAGAGCTTTAAAACAACAACAGTAGGGCAATGACAGAGCTCTGGAATCTCTATGGGTCCTATGAAGGGCTGGGCTTCAAGTAGTTTAACAACTGGTTCTCTGCGCAGTTGCTGGGTGGGCGTGACCATGGTGAGCCTGGCCTAGTCAGCCTCCTGCACCACCCTGGTTGTGAAAATGGCCATGGGGGCGGGGGGCGTTTTCATCCTGCCCTGAATCCGTTTCTGACCTTCAGGAACTTCCAGGAGGCCCATTTTTTTGCCTTCCCTGAGCCTCCACACGGGCCCTGCACTTACCTGCAATCCAAAATGGGCTGTGTGGGGACTCCTGGTAGGGTGCAAGGTGGGGTGGATGTGGCTAGCCAGGGGTGGGATTTGCCAGTTTGCTGAACTGGCCATAAAATTAAAAATCGGTTCACCCAAGCTGGTGCAAACCAGTAGCAGCCTACCCCTGGTCCTATGTCCTTGAAATCTGCCATCTCAACAGATCTGGAGAACATCAGATATGGAAAATGAGATTAGATAAATATGTAACTTTCTTAAAAAAAAAATCTTGTGCACCATCTATTTATTATGTCCAAACCCTAGCAAACTATCATTACATCAGAGCTTGATTTATCCCGTTAATCTATTTTGGTAATCTGTAGTAAAGATAACTTGCTTTTGAGGTTTCAACCTTACATCCGTTCGTAAGGAGAAGAAGGAAGAGAAAAATACAATAGCCCAAAAGATATACGTAGGATGGCAAAGCATAGCTTACCACTGTCCAGGTCAGGCTATAAAGTGTGTGAATAGATTGAATCCAAGACTTACTCATATCTAAAAAAGCATTTTGGTCATCTTCCTCTTGTGTGTAGCTAAGAGAATTACTCTGGCTTTTTAACTCTGAATACCCTTCACAGTTCTTGCTCTTTACAAATAGCTATAGCAATTAAGCAAGGAACAAGGAAACAGATTTATTTCAAGATAATTTCAGAGACATATGGGGCATTTTCTCTTTTGTAATGTGTTTCCAAGATACATCCCACCAGTTAGGGAACTATGTGTCTCGTAGACAACTTTGGAAATGTTTGTTCCTTATATGGCATTCAATTTCAAGCAGAGCTTTCCTCCTCCTTAGGGCTCCAGTCAGCATTGTCCCTATTGAACTAGAAGATTTCACAGCCATGAGACATTTGAGGGACAAAGCTATTTCCATGAACGGTTTTGGAGCAAATTATATTTAGAAAGCTAGCAAAGAGCTTAGCAACAAAGGTACCCCTTCTTCCACTCAGCCAGTTCTTTCTCCTTGTCTGCATTACTCTGTCTGTTACTCACTGCTTATTCTCCGTGGCTGGTTCAATAACATTCAAAGAAAAGTAGTACATCCTTCCTTGCTATTTGTGTTGCTGTTGTTGTCAGTCACACTAAATAATCAATTTGTCCAAATTCTGTAATAGCTAAAAAAAAAATGGTTTTTTAAAATGTATCATTGCTCTTATTATCATTATTTGAATTGGCTCAAAGATTCCAAAAAAATTGTTCCCACCATTGTAACTGTAATTCCACCTCCCCTAGGCCTAATAATTATGTCAAATAATTATAAGAATTTAGAAAGACAAGACTTAACTATGTAGGAATGATGTTGGTTCTTTCAGCAGGACATCAGTAGGACGTTTGTATATTTCGATTAGACTTTTTTTTTAAAATCCCACTTTTATTACTTTTTAAGTAAGTAAAGTGGTGAATATGCATAATAGTCCTTCCTTCTATTTTCCTCACAACAACAACCCTCCGTGGTGGGTTGGGCTGAGAGAGTGTGACTGGCCCAAAGTCAACCAGTTGGTTTTTCATGCCTAAGGTGGGACTAGAACTGTCATTTTCCCTGGTGATTGGCCCAAAGCCAAGCAAAAATCTGAGGGACAGGCTGAGGGATAGTTTCAGAACAAAGAAGAGGGTGATGCAAGTATGAGAGGTCAGATAATAATGTCTTTTTCTGCTCAAGCAGAATTTCTGATGACAGAATGGGCGCATCCATATGGGTTACTTGGCATCAATTCAAAATGGCTTTCCATTACCTTTTTCTATGATTTTTTTTTAAATCCCAATATAAACTACGGTCTAGATCAGAGGTGTCAAACTCGATTTCATTGAGGGCCACATCAGAGTTGTGTTTGACCTTGGGAGGCCAGGATGGGCATAGCAAGCTCAATGTCATTCGTGTCGGGGGTGCCTGTGGTGGCCCGAATGCTCCCAAGCTCCGTTTTCGGCTGCGCCGGTCTCCTGCAACCTCTGCCAATTAAAACGGAGGTCGGGAGGGCTGCCTGTGGCCCTCCCGAGCTCCATTTTCAATGGCAGTGGCAACATGGGCCGGTCTTCGCTGTTTCCAAGGTGGCCCCATGGGCCGGATGTAAGTATCCCACAAGCAGGATCCGGTCCTTGGACCTTGAGTTTGACACCCCTGGATTCTTCTTATCTGGGTCCCATCAAAATACTGATCAGTTCTTTTATGCTTGTCTTTTGCAACATCTGCCAGAACCTGAAACAGTCTGCCACAAAACATAATTTAATTTTAATGCAAGTAAAGTTACATCAGTTTAAATGCAGCTCCTATGATTTCATTATCATAATATTTATCGCAATATTTAATATAAACCTTCCAATCACAATAATAAAAATTGCAGCAAATTTTAGAACTTTTTTTTAGAATTTTACAAGTTTTGGAGCTTGAGCCCAAGGCTTGCATGGAACTACTTACTGTATGGCCCTTGGCCTCAGGCAATATACTTC